TGGGGTTAGGGGTGGGAGTTAGGGATCAGGGTTACGGTGATTGGGGTTAGGGGTTAGGTGTTAGGTGTTAGGGATCAGGGTTAGGGGTTAGGTATCAGGGTTAGGGGTTAGGTATTGGGGTTAGGGGTTAGGGATAACAGCAGGCCGATCGTAGTCTACTGCCAGGCACGGCCTGTGACGGCCCCCGTTCCATGAGGCCCCCCTGTTCTCTGTGTGCGTGGCCCAACCAGGGACCATGATTCATTGTGTCTGCGTCAAGGATTGAAGAGTTTCGTCTGTGTGAATGTGCTCGTCTCGTCACCGCTGCGTATTCCGCTCGTCTGTGTCCCCAGATCGGTCCGATTGGATCCGGGACCGACTGTGGTGATTTAGCAGTGGTCTGTCATGCGGGATTTACACGAGTGATCCAAATATTAGCCCGAAATCTTCGACAATCATTAATCATTAAGCAGAATGATGGTGACTCCAGAGCGAGCGTGCGGGTCGGGGGGGAGGGGTCACGCCTCTCTGTTTATGTTCGCCGGCCCTCCAGCCGACAGCTGTCACGTCTTCAACGACACCGATCGCACTTCGCCTCGAAGTAAGTGGTGTCTTATTTTCCCCCCGAGTCTCGGAAGCTGACCTGTTTCAGGCCTTGAATTCTGCGTCGTTGATTCGGGTACCCGTCCAACGCAGGGCCTCTGAGGTTGCTGCAATGAATCATTCATTGGACGGGGGGACGGGGGGGGATTGCACTCAGCTAGTACACACAGACTAGTACTGATGCACAGTACTCTCTCACAACCCTCTGTTGACGCACCTTTTTCTCTAAATCCTGTTGTCTGTTTTTTTTCAATCTGTTTCATCTCTCAGATTTCTATTCTGAAATCCATCTAAGCAGAAAAATAAAGATTACTGATGTTCATTCGTGCATTTTTTTTTAACCAACCGACACCTCGTCTGGCGACCGTGTCGACGGATCCCTGAGAAGCACTTTGGTTCGGACATGATGGGGATTCCAAAGGAAAGGAAGTGAAAGGGACGCGAAAAAGCCGACCGGCATCGTTTGATTGTTTGTGAGACAAAGCGGGCGACGTTCCACTGAAAACAACCCAGGCGACACATTCCTCTCCATTTAGCGGATCCCCCCCCCGTGTGACCCGCCGGCGGTCTGGAAACGCCGCTCGGATCCAGACGTTTCCAGCCTTTGGATGGTGCAGTCTTTGTTGCGCTTAAAGTCACAGCGTGATCTGGAAGACTTTAAGTACTCAAGTACTTTTTCTTTTGATTACATTTCAGTAATAGCACAAGGTTTTTATTAATATCAGATCTGATGCTTGTGAGGTTTCTGATTCAGCCTTTAATGGACACTTTGTAGTGAATTCTACAGGACGTGGAGCTTCCTCCTGTACGTAAGGTGTGTGTGTGTGTGTGTGTGTTACCCCTCACAGCACTTGCTCAGAGGGAGATCTGTGGATTCGTTCAGGAGCTTCTCGGGCGCTTCAGTGCTGGATGACGCTCATGGAAGCAGCAGACGTACATGAATCAAGGCCCTTTCAAACCGAGCAGCCGCATGGCGAGAAAAATGGAATCACTGCGGTTTTGTGGTCCATAATGTAAAATGTGCATGAATCCCAAAGGATCAAATATTATTCTGTGCCGTTTTTAGGCGCAGCTTCCCACCTGGAGGTTTGGGTCAAGAGGGCCCGTTAAGTTATTTGGGGGATTTATTGAATCTGTTTAAAAAAAAAAAAAGGTTTCAGATGCATACGCAGATTGTAGCGTGGTCATTTCGCTCTATTTTTAAATCCTGAGTATGAGCAGTTTGGTCACTGTGGGTTTGTTTCCAGTTTTATTGTGTAGTTTCCTGCCTCGTTGTACCTGGGTCACTTCACTTCACTTCACTTGCAACCTCCTCCATCAGTATTAGTATATTTACCAGCAGTTTATTTCCCATTAGTAATGGCCTAAGTACCCTCCTCCTCTTTTCCTGCTCTCGCCTGAACTCTGTCCTCAATTCCACGTCGAGGTGGGGACACCGTAATCTCTGCGCGTGAAGCTCGTGTGACACTTTAATCTCCCCGAGGACCCGAGCGTTCAGCGACGAGGACACCTGACGAGCTGACCCACTTATTCCTTCAACACCTGCAGCCGCCACATGTGTCCTTTTTTTTTTTTTTTTTAGCCAGAGACCAAAAAGCCAAAGACATTTCCTGCACGGTGAAGACTGCGAGCGCCAGGGACGTTTATGCGGCACGTTTATTGAGCAGCTCCCAAATCAAGGTCATGTGAATCGTTACTCCCATCGGACCACGTCACCGTAAAGGCTGTCCTACAAACAAAAGACATTTGGCCACGTAACTTTATCCCGAAGCTGAAAAGATAAGGTCAACAAAAAGAATGACGTGAATCCTTCTGTTCTCGCTCCTAACTGAGAAAACGCCGTCTGGCAATATGGTCCGTGTCGACTAGTCTGTTGAACCTCCTCCGGCTCTGCCCGATGTCTCATAGAATAGTTTGTTTATCGAAATAGTTTGCATGGTATGAAGCTTAGCTTAGCATTAAGACTGAAAAAGGGGGAAACGGCAAATGGTCATCATCCCCCTCCCCTCGGATTAAACCGTCTAGGTAGAACGTGACTTGGTTATTGAGCTCTGGAGGTGCCGCTCGGCTCGAACGGCGAGCCACTAGTTTGCGATCTGGGACCCCACTCGAGGGGAGAAGAGCAGGCAGCACGGAGACCCTCCTCCGCGCTTTTCTGCCACAGCTGTGCAAATAAATGTGAAAGAAATGTCTCAGGAAATTTAATCTTGTAATTGTTTTGGCTCTCAAACCGGCGGCCCAAAGGGAGGGAGAAGCCTTTTTTTTTTTTTTTTCATGGCCAAATCCCTGCCAGTGTTTGTGAGAATAAATGGATCTCAAGTGGGCCCGATGCTAAATGTCCCGTGACGGCAGATATTTTCTAGTGCTAGACAGTTATTTCACTGCTGCTGTTTGTTATTGCACCGAACGGGTTTGCTGGCCTGGGATTCTGTGTCCTGACATGTCTTGCAAAAGAAAAAGAAAAAAAATGAGCATTTACACGTGTTTTATTTTTTAAAAAGAGTCGTGGATGCAGGCGGCTTCTCCCCCTCAGAGGGTCTCAGTCACTCCCGCCCAATAAATCCCCTGTCACGGCACATTAGCCCGCCGCAGCCGTTTGGTTGTGGAAGCTCGCGGCTTACGTCAAGCTCGTTAGCGCGCCGCTCTGCTCGCCGGAGAGGGACTCTGCACTCGGCTTCGGATTCACGGGAATACCTGGAAGGAGTGTTTGGGTGGGTGGGGGGAAAAAAAGGTTGTTCGGCTGGTTTCTCGGTTCCCGAGTGGAGCCCCAAGCGCGACTAAGAGGCGGAGGTGTGATCTTCTGCTCGTGGTTTCATGGCTGCCGTTGTATTTTGCTAACTCGGCCCCTTTGTTTTCTCCGCAGGCCGTCACTGGAAGGTGCTTCGGTGACAAGGACTTCAGGGGAGGTTTGGAGAACGGCATTCTGCTGTGCGAGTAAGTCCCGCCTGTTGTGGTTTCCATCCGACTGTCTTTGCTTTTTTTAAGTTGTTCATTAGCGGCCTTTTTATCTTTGGTGGCTTCGTTCTACTCCTTAAGAAAACGATGCATTTGTCAGTGGCTCTACAATATAGTTTCTTTTACTAAGACTCTGTTTTATGAGAGGCAGGGTGTTCAAAAAAGGCCGCAACAACAAAGAAAGCTTCAGTCCAGAGAAGCAGAATCTAAAAGTTCACACATTTCCTTTATAATACAACAAGTTTATATTTTATACAGTTTGGTCCTCGTCCTTCTTCAGCTCACAATAATTTAAAATAATAAAAACGTAAGTCAACCCAGAAGAATTTTCAGGACAAATAGGAAGCATTTGAAGACACCAGCGTGGTCCAGTGATCAGACGGACTGCCGTCGTGTTAAATTGTCCTCCGCTGAGACACCGTGAACCCTCATAATTAGTTTGAGGGTCTACAATGAGACTGAAAACAAGTCAAGTTCAGCTGCACAACCCCAACGTTTACATCATCTTTATTGTGAAAACAGACATCGAATCCAATTTAAAGGAATCCCCACCGGCTCTGGAATTTCCTGGATATCATGTGACTTCTAATGAAACCCTAAACATCTGACCACAATAATGTTTTCAAACGGTTTTATTCAGACGATTCAAACATTTTTTAATTAATAAGTCAATCAATCTGAAGCTTTTGTTCTGTTTCACTTGACTGCAAATTTGATATGCTTGGGTTTGAATGCTGTTATTTAATCATCACCCTTCATTCAAGGAATGTGTGTGTCATCATCATCATCATCATCATTTCCAAAAGTCCAAAACCTTTTGGTAAACAGCAATTTGGGCCAATCCATCTTGGAAGAGATGATGAAACTGTGTTAACTCTCTTTTTGTGTAAATTTGGAAGGAAATAATGAATGAAACATTACATTCTGCAGCATTATTTTTATTCCAGGCTTCCAACGTGTATATATTGTACGTGGCACTGAGAGCCCCCTCCTTTCGGGGGTTGTTGAAGGTCATTTTGGGAAAAGTACGGCACAGCAGGACGTCTGTGACTGAAGCCGAAGTAGAGGAGCGAAGGAGACGTCCCTGGAATGCCATCAGCAACATTGCAGGGACGCCGCATACTGAGAGAGCATCCGAAGCCGCTTCCTCTGACGAGAACACACACAAAAGATGGAAGACATAGAGGTCGGGGGAACTCTGTGGCCTCTCCGTGACTGACAATCAGTCTGAGACTGCAGGAATGTGCAGGAACTTTCTCCAGAAGCCGCTGTTCTGCTTTGCACGCGTGCATGCGCACAATATGGGAGATGACCGCAGACGGTCAGACCTTCGCCGGGTGGCTCGCTGCGATGTGAAGTGCGCTGGAACTATTTAACAGCTCCCAGTGGGGACGGAAGGGGAAGCTTCCCCGGTCTGATTTAGGATCTGTTTTGTTATAAAACCTTCCAGACGCCCCCGAGACCCTCAGAAAATGTCTCCCTTTTGTTCCTCCCACTCTTTTTCCACAAAGACACACCAATTAACGTTCTTTATCTCATATTTCACAGTGCATCATCTAGGATATTCAACACAACTCGTCATGGAGACAAATTCAGAAGGCATGACTCAGTTTCTCTGTGTAGTTTGATTTGAAATTCAGCTTGTGATGTCTTCCTCTGTGTGTTTCTTCTTAGGTTGCTGAGCTCTATTAAACCCGGCCTGGTGAAGAAAATTAACAGGCTCCCAACACCCATCGCTGGCCTGGTGAGTCCTCCACTCTTGCTTTCCTCTAAAACTTAACGGCCCTTTCATCCTTTTTTTTTTTCTTCTTCTCCTGCCTTTTCCTTCCGTGTTCCAAAACGTTCCGCCTGTCACTGCGAGGGGCTGAAATGGGTGACGGCCTTGCAGATTGAGATTACATCTCTGATACCTGAGCACCTGAGCTCCTGGTACCTCGTGTAAAGTTCATCACCGTATAACTTCACACGTCTCTGCAGGTTATTTATGCCTCAGCGGGCTGATTACACAAGTGTTGGGTATAAACAAACAAACACTGAAGATAATCATGTGACATGCGTGTAATCTGGTTTTATAATTTAAAAACATAACATTTACAGGAGCCCTCCGTTGTGGTTTAAAAGTAAAGTTTGATTCACTAAAACCATCCAAACGTCTTGTGAATCAGAGCCCAAAGACATTTCTTCCAGAGGCTAAAACCTCAACGCGATAATGCACGTTGTTGTCCGTGATTTTATTTAAGAATCTTAAGCTCGGCCCCCCCTGCTTGGGCCTGTGCGTTTGAGCAGACCTGCACGCTGACGCGCTTGAGAGTCACTGCAGCTCTTTCACGGCGCCCTCGGGACCCTGGATGTGGATGAAGTGACCCTTCGGGGGCGTTAAACGGAAGCACTGTGAAGACACACTAAACACACTCCCGCCTCTCCTGCGTGCATCGCTGACTGTTCATGCAAGGGTGGTGTTTAGCTTATGGGCCCGAGTTACACGCGCGGTACGGGATCAAGGAAAGGTCTCTGCGTCCATCTGAAGCGGTTACTTTGATCTGATGTTCCTGTGACGGCAGCCTAATGGACTCTAATCGGTCCGCCGGCGACGGCAGACCTCCACGTCCTTCCCGGTGATCCTAAGGAATGTCGCGTTTCCACCTTTTCTGCAAAGCGGCAACATACGGAGGGTTTTAGTTGTCAAATATTACTTTTCAGAAGATAAATCAAAGCGGCTGAACATGGATGTAAAAATGTGGTTCGTATTGGCGGTTGAAAATAAAAATTCTTAATCATCTCAAACCACAGTGAGTGAATCCTCCGCTGAAGACGAGGACAACACACTGAGGGACAAAAGGACACCTGTGGTTTGACTCCAGTCTAAACAATATGAGCCTTTATTGCCATGTTTCATATTTACGGCCCTCCGCTTCTTCCTGTGGCTTTTTCCTTCCCCTCTAAAGAGGTGAGAAATGCGTAAACAAGGGCTCCGCTGTTATCTGGACCATCGTAATAAAACACAGCCTACTCCCCCGTCCCCTTCCTGTTTGGGGGGGGGGGGGGGCTAATGGGCAAACGAGTCTCTGAGGAGGTTTTGGCTGCTTTGTAATCGGAGCGGCGGCTCGGTGCCGTTCGGCTCCCTGTCGGCCTCCACATGCTGTCTCCGGGTCCACCGGCGCGCTCGGGTTCTGCGCCATTGTTTTCATTGTTACGACAGGATCTTATGGAGAAGCCTTTATTATGCGGATCTACGGGGTTTGATAACGGAAAAAAGTTTTAGGTTTATGTTATTGATAAATAACATGAATAAAACCAGCTACATTCATAAAATGTCATTAATCCATTTATTCTAATCATTTTGAGAAAAAATTGTGAATAAGCACCTCTGCATTGTTTCTAAAATACCTCAATCATGCATTTTTCTCACGATATATTTTGTGCTGACATTTGTCGTTACATTTTGATTCCGGGTCAGGATCCGACGAGAATGCGTAGACCTGCATATTAACACAGAGTATTACTCTATGAATGTCAATAGACTTTTCCCCGTGTCTTACATTTGTCTGTTATGCTTCTCGAGGAGAGAAAAAGACTCCGGAGGAGTTTCCTCTTCCTGAGACGCTTTGGATTCTTTCACGGTCCAGAATCAGGGGCGTGAGGGCCGATCCTCTTCCCTGAGGAACCTCGGGGGACTAATCCTGGTTCTTTAAAATGAGCGTTGCGTACAGTGTGTTTCTCAGGGTAAACACACACGCACCGCTAGTAATACTGCAACCTACAATAAGTGGCCGTTAGGCGCGATGGTTTACTGTCAGCTAAAACATTATTTAATGTCTCTACCCTGGACATGTTTTTAGATTTGTTGTAAATCTTAAAACATTGATTTATTTCGCCACACATGACTTGAGTCAATCTACGTCCCGATCACTCTGCGAACACATTCATCTTCCTTTGCGGTAGACGCCCAGTTTCCTGTGGCACTGGCCGGAAAATCAAAAGTTATGCTCACTTCTTAAGACCAACACACACACACACGCCAACACCCACTACATTGTTGTCACCTTGCCAGCTGCTACTAAATCAGCCAGTTTAATTGTGTGTCTGCTCGTTTATCGCTGTGTTTTGTCATTTCGCGTCCAGACAGGGTGAGATACCAGCTGGAAAACAGCAGAAAAACTTTTTTTTTTGCTCCGTGATGGCCGAGGTTTTCTTAGTCAACGCCACCAGATCCCCATCTCTGCTGCTAAAGCAGACTAAACAAGCGCTCCCTTTTTGATGGATTCTCTTGGAGATACGGCTCGCTTGGAGGTTTCCTTATCAAATATCTGCTGCCTCTGAGAGGCGATATCGTCCAGTGACAATAGTTTGATTGCACAGCATGTAAGCACGGTTTATCTTTTTCCTGCTAAATATCCTCGTCGTTCATCACATATTTTGGTTTGGTAGAGAAGAGGCCGTCTGAGGCCGTGGTGACGCCTGTCTCTCAATGCAACTCTGTGTTCAATGTGGACTTTGTTAACCGATCTGTGCGCTTTGACATCAGATCTTTGAAGCGAGGCGGGAAACCAGGGGGGGCGCCGTTAAGTAAGCTTGCACACGGCTGTCGAGCAGGTTGTTGAAATGATTTATTATCAAGCGTTCACGAGCAGAATGGGCAAACCGTGACAAAGATTCTGCCAGTTGTTCAACTTTACTTCAGAGTGTTTTTGAGTTTGTGTCACTTATCCCCTTCGCCCCGAGGGGGATTCCCTGAATAATTCCTCTCTTATTTCTAGAGAATGTTCTTCATTAGAGCCCCCGTTGATGTCCATGAGGTGCAACCAAAGTTAAGGTCAGCAGGAGTGTGAGACCCACTGTAGGTGTGGCCTCTGTCAAAAGGAGAGATTGTGTGTGTGTGTGTGTGTGGGTGTGTGTGTGTGTGTGCGGGTGGGGTTGTCTCAGCAGGAGAGCTTTCCCCCCCCAAAAAACACAGGAAGCTGCTGGGTGGGTTTGGAGTTGGTGTTTTGCTACGAATGGGAAAGGATCGTGAGAACAAGTGTGTCTGTTGACGTGTGTGTGTGTGTGTGTGTAGCCGTGCAGGTCGTCTCACACCAGCTGGTGTGTACATGTAAATACGTTTTGTGGGTCTGAGCACCGGGAAGGATCCATACTTGATGCCGCGTTCTGTCCAAATGTGTGCACACTGCATGCGGATGCTCGGGGATTGTGTTTGTGTTTTGGTGCTTGGGACAATCAGGGTGGAGAGGAAATGGTGACACCCAGAGAGTGAGGGAGTGAGGGAGGGAGAGAGGGAGGGGAGGGCTTTGGCCCTGTGGATGATAGAGAGGCATAGAAACAGAGAGAGAGAGAGAACCTGGGAACAGGAGAGGAGAGCTGGGCTCAGGTTCCACCCAACAAAGACTTTGTCAGGGAGGAGAGAGGGAGACGACGGAGAGGATGGGGCAGGCGGTGAGAGTCGGGGAAGAAACAAAAGGGCGCGGAGTGAACGTTGGAGGAATCTGAGAGAGGAGACGTCCGGCGAACCGGCTGGGGTTCCGTTTGTGCTCCGACAGGTAGCCGGATTTTCGTGTTGTGTTCGTGTCTTTGCGTGTATCTTATGCGGGTAAAAGATGCTGTGAAGAATCCTAAAAGAGGACTTATTCTATCTATTGTTCTTCTACACCGCGGTCCAACATCTGGACTCATTTGAAACTTGCATGTTGAGAATATTACGTTTCTGAGGGTAAAACTGAGTTTTTATCCGGTTGATTTCAGTGAAGCCACAATGTCCGACGTATGAGCAGAATTCAGTACTGAAATGTGTTCACACGTGTGTGTCGTTCTTAACGAGCCAGACCTTCATTTCTGCAACACTGAATGATTTTAAATGAATCAGAGACCTCGCGTTGCCTCCAGTCTCTGCCGACACTTATCAAACTGTGTGTGTGTGTGTGTGTGTGTGTGTGTGTGTGTGTGTGTCGTGCAGGACAACCTCAGTGTGTTTCTGTGCGGCTGTGAGGAGTTGGGACTGAAAGGCTCCCAACTGTTTGACCCTGGAGACCTGCAGGACACGTCGACGCGCCCCACCGCCACGTAAGTCTCAGTGTCCCCTTACTGCTCAGCGCACGGCGTGTGTGTGTGTGTGTGTGTGTGTGTGGCGGGGGGAGGGAGGGGCTTCTGTCAGTTGTTCCTCAGGCGTTGACCTTTTGATACAACAGCTCCTACGATCTCACCTCAAGAAGTCCATTCACACTCGGCTCCACGGTTGAAATACACGTTGTGGACATTTACGTGAGGAATGAAAGGTTTGTTTGTGACGTGATTGCCGCTGAAGATGAAGAAACTCCAGTGTTGTGCCTTCATAGGTCCCTGGTGTGCGTGCATGCGTGCGTGCGTGCGTCACTCAGACAACCACCGAGTTCACAAACATAAATAAAACCACATCTGTGTGACACAACTGGTCTCCCTCCAAAGACAACAGTCGCTCACTGAACCACAACTCTGTCTTTGTTGCCAAGCAACAAAGACGAGTGCATGCAGTTCTTAAGATACGTGTGTGTGTGTGTGTGTGTGTAGGGGGTTCTCGGTTTCGTTCACCCTGAGGTTTAGAGAGGAGGGTTATGTGACCCTCAGGCACACAGGATGCTGCTGTTCTCTACTTTGTTATTGATAAAAACCTTGCTGTTGTATGTTATACACCGGTGTGAATGAGCTCCTTAATGCTGATTGTGAGGGACAGACGAGTAAAGGTAAATATGAAGCATGTGGGATCAGGTCAGTCAGGTGTGCAGAGAAAAGCCACCTGTCTGGTTTATTCACACACGCTGACATAAAGAGGAGCTGGAGGGTAAACAGATCTCTGTGGGTACATACATATACACACAGCGAGGGCATGTTAAACTGGGATTATACCAGTTTAGCCGTTCGTCCCTCTAGAAGTTTCCTCTTCACAACACAAGTGCATGTGGCGCCTCATTCCGCTTCCCTCTTATAGCTTCAAGCGGTGATCCGCAAGATGCGCGTGTTTCCATTTTGGGAAACATCTGTGGCTCTTAGTGGCCCCCGATGCGATGTTCCTGCACTTCACCTCCCTGTAATCCCCTGGCGGTCCGACCATGCGGCGACCACATCTGTCTGCCCTCACTCTTCGCTGAGGACGGGATCGGTCGTTGTGAATGATCGCCGCCGGCGCTGGACCGGGGGGCCCCTGGAGGCGCCGTTGCAGTTCGTATCGCATGCGTGGTATAAGTTCATACGTCAGATAGCGGCGAAAGCCACTGCAGGAAATGTGTCACGAATCTGTTTCACCAAACGGAGAAACTGGAAGCGAAAGCCGAGTGCGGCGTTCTCGCCGCGTGGGCGACTCGCTTCAGATTCAAAAAGTTGCTTCTCTTGTATTGCATTTACATATGAGGGAGTGTGGTTGTTTTTAAAGCTGTGTGCTGTTATGTTTATGTAAAAATATATTCCAATGTGTCTCTTGTCTTTCTCTCAGGGGAAGTGACTGCAGCCGCAGGATCAAGAATGTAAGTGACGCCTCTGGACTGCAAGGGGTCATTCGTTTGAGTGCTGAATGTATGTTTGGATTCAAACCGCTTGCATGTGACGGCCCCTTTGATCCGTTATCTCATCAGCATCTTCTCTCTAGTATCGATTATGTTATAGTTCTGGTTCTAAACTGTTTCTTTTGCTCAAATGCACGTTTTCTCTTTTTCCATTATGCTGCTTTAAGAAGTAGAACACATAGTGCTAGCCCTGCCCACTTTGCAGTCTCTCTCTCTCTCGGGGGATGCTGCTGTGCACTGTACATTGTGTCGGGCTGCAGAGGGCACGTTGGCTCATTTGGCCGACTGCACGCAGGGACTCTCGGGCCCACGTAGCCCAGCATCCCGGCAGCTCGGGGCTTTAGCTGGGACCTGCTGTGGATCGGCCCTGCAGGCCGGGGACTAGGATCTGATAGCAGCCGTCTCTGCAGCACGCCGCACGTCGAGGAGGTGAAGGGAATGCAGTGAGAAGGTGTTGTCGGGTAGATTGGATGGTGGGTATTGCATGAATAGCAGCGCAGGTGTGAACAAGAAGGGCTGACTGTGCGCATGTGTGCGTGTTGCTATGCATCTCTGTCTATGTGCACCGAGCACGCGTGGCGTGCAGCTGGCGCGCTCAGGTCGTCGGTGGTTTTCTCCCGGGCTTCCTTCATTCCCTCGAGCACGCATCACTTAATTGTGTTTACACACGAAACTGAGCGGTGACTGACGTTTTTTCCATGGAACCTCTTCCGACAGGTCTTTCCACACCTGCCACATCAGCTGCCGAAAGTGGCGCCGTGCACTACTCGACCGGCCGGCACGTCGTTTACATTTCTCCGTGTCAAATCTCCCCTGACGTGTTGTCTTTGAACTGCAGCCCGGCGCTCGTGTCCGTCGCTTGCTGTGGGTTTAGTGAAGCATCTCCCAAGCACGCTCGTTGCAGTTGTGGAATTTTGGAATTTGTTCCTATTTCGGTTTGGGATCAATGGGATTTTAAGCAAACTAGTAAGCAACTGAAAGCCATTTGTTGCCGACCACTGAGATGTTGAGCATGAGCTTCTTCTGGACAGCAGGCCGGTTCCATTATCCCGCCGCCAAGTGGCTTTGAGGCTGTTTACACTGACGGCACGACTGAAATAAACACATTAAGCCACGCTGAGCTTTCTTATCAAAGCAATCCCGGCAGAGCGCCGGTTGACATGGACACGGCAAATATAGCCGCGGCGACGTGCCCAACGAGCGAAAAAGGTGCGGCGAACCACGTGATCTCCACCCGCGGCTGCAGCCGATCTGTGCGTTCTGCATGTCGGACGTCCAGCTGACGCGGAAGGGAAGAAAGCTTCCCTTCCCAGGTCGAGACAAAGAAGCAGGTGTGCTTCTTGCTCATTCTTTCACGGGGTTACCGCGTTGAGAGAGCCGGAGGTTTACCCTGGTGATTCATCCACTGCAGGTTAAGTTAGCTGCCAGGGGAGTGTAGTTCATTGTGAGCCCTGGGGGGGGGGGGGGGGGGCGGGGCTGCCTTTTAGCCGGTGACCTGTGTCGGGGGTCACAGCGGTGGCTCAGGCCTGTCGTGTTTGAGCAGCATGCTGACGTGTACTTTGAAGGAGGCTGGATTGTGAAAAAATACTAATAATAAATCTGTTATATTGGATATAGCAACATGCAAATGGGAGCTGGCTCTGATATTAAACTTCACTGTCGGCCCTGGAAATCACTGCTGTCTTCTTCTCTACTGACAAAGTGTCGTCTCATCGTGACGTCCGATTCCATTTCTCTTCTTCCCTCTGCAGGTTGTAATCACCATCTACTGGTTGGGTCGTGCTGCCAACGGCTGTGCCTCCTACAACGGTCCCACGCTGGACCTGAAGGAGTTTGAGGGCCTGCTGTCACAGATGCGAAAGGTTCGCCCCGTCCTGTTTGGTAACGTGCGGGCCGAGGAATATCATAAGAATCCAGATCTGTAGCACAAGGGGCCATTTAGTCGGTGCTTGCTGTTGTGTTAGAAATCTCCTAGCAACCGCTGCCGGTATAAGGGATGGAGAGAGGCTGCTCAATACTGAGACACACACACACTATACTGGACCACTCGTTTTGCGATGCACCAAAAGTGCGTATTGATAAAATGTGTACAGACCTCGGTTGTTCTGTCAATCATCTGGACCTGGTTCCACCTCTTCACCGACGCAAAAGGACAAAAATAAGGTTATCCTCCCCAGAGCCCCAACAACCACGAAAGCAACGGCTCGCAGCTATGATGTCACCCCCGTGCGATTCATTCCACAAGGTGACGTCCCCAGTCTGTTCCATCAAACCGCCAAAACTCTGCCAAGTCGGCACGGTCACTTTCCCAGATGCTCCCGCGTTGCCTCTGACCGAACGGCTCTTCTGTGGAACAAAAAGGACGTCAAGAAAAGCTCTTCAGTTGCAAAGTAAACGGCTCACCTTCAATGGTTATGAAGTGGAATTTCTTTTTTTTTTTTTTTTATGGCAGTAGTGAAGCGGGTGAATGAAGGAACAAGCTGCAATTTAATCTGCTCCCTTACTGTTAGTTGCTGAGGATACATGATTACATGATTTCAAGGATCCGTTGGCATGATTTAAAACATAAAGGGCCGGTTTCGGAGACAAGGCTCAAGCCTAGTCCCAGACTAAAATGCTGTTTGAGCTGGCTTAACTGAAATTCACTTGCACAGACGTAGCTTAAAATACTCGTGGATTAAGCCTGTTCTGGATTAAACAAAGCCGATTGCAAAATTGAGCATTAGAGCTACTCCAGGACTAAATTGGACTGAATTGAAGCTTAAACTAATCTGCCAAGGAGGCAGGTTTAACTCCCGCTTAGTAGGCTAGGCTACTGTTTGTGAAACTGAGCTTGGATTGTTTGGGAGCATGGACTATTTGGAATATCTAAATGAGGACCAACATGCACAACAAAGGCCAGCCAGACGAATACTGCTGGATAGGAGTGATCCATTGAATCAGTTTGATGAAATAACTTTTCGAGACCGCTTTCGTATGCACAAGGAAAATGCATTGGAGATAGTTACTTTGCTTGAGCCTAGACTTTCCTCTCTGTCTCAAAGAGGAAGGCCTGTGTCCAATCAACTGCAAGTTCTGATCACTTTGAGGTTCTTGGCATGTGGAATCTTTCATCGTGAAACTGGTGATTTGTGTGGTGTCAGTGAACCAACTGTATGTAGAATAGTTCACAAAGTCTGCAGTGCCATTTGTGAACTGAGGAGTCTTTACATCAAGTTCCCTGATGCTGCTGGGCAAGCCAACTATAAAGTGCAATTCTATGAATATGGGCACTTTCCAGGAGTGATTGGCTGTATAGACGGATGTCATGTTCCCATCAAGTGTCCATCAACTCCTGATGCAGAGGAATACAGGAATCGTAAGAACTGTTTTTCAATCAATGTTCAGGGTGTATGCACTCCTAATTTGGAGTTTTCAAACATTGTTGCCCGTTGGAAAGGTGCAACCCATGATTCAAGGATTTTTCTCAACTCTTCATTGTGTGCACAATTTGAGAGTGGACAACATAGTGGACTACTACTTGGTGATAGTGGATATGGTCAGAGTAACTATTTATTCACACCACATCTAAATCCCACAACAGCTGAGCAGCAAAGGTACAACAGAGCTCATATCCGTACTAGAGGGATGATCGAGCGTATGTTTGGAGTATGGAAAACTCGATTCCAGTGCTTACGAAATACGATTCGTTTCAAGCCAAGAAGATGCTGCAAAGTGATCATTGCTACAGCTGTGCTGCACAACTACCTGAAGCAGCATGGCTGTCCTGACCTGCCAATGGAAGATCAGGATGATGCAGATGTGCCCATGGTGGCAGAGGCAGCCAATGACCAGCGAGGACTTGCACACAGAGCTGCTTTCACAGTGCAGCACTTCAGCATTTAAATATGGAATGTATCCATTATGGTATGGTGGTGCTTGCATACTGTTTCTGTACAAAATTACAATAATGTAGCAAAATTAAACTAGTGAACCAAGTCGGGTAAAATGTAGTTTGTGATGATTAATACTCACTCACACGCCAAATGACAATACATTTATTTTTATTTTTCACAATTCCTCATATTCACCATGGCTACTAGTATGCAGAATTCTTTTTTGGAGCATAGCCCTCTCTCCCAATTTCATATCCAGTTCAACCTCTAGAATTCTCATTTTCATTTCATGTTCTTCTTTTAAATATTCAATTTTACGCTCATGAAATTCTCTGGCTAACTTTTCATGCATAGTTATCTTTTTTGGTCTCTGTTGGATGGTAGCAGCTTCATCTCCCAGGGGTGCCATAGCAGATGTGGAGGGTTCAGGCTCGTTGTGAACTGGCTCTTGATTGGTTTCCTCTGGAAAAAAAGACCACTGTTCCAAACTCAAATCAACTAATATGGTCCTGTAACCAATTTACTTCCTAAGGTATATTTACCATTTGTGCTCAGTTCTCCATGTTCACTGTCCAAATGGTCATTGTCTGGTATACCATCCAGAGGTTGCTGGTGCTCTATTATACCAGACAGCAAGTCACCCAATTCATCACATGTGTCCTTTATTGGTGGTCCACCACCTGTAATAAATCGCTCTCTTCTGCTTGCTGCATTCTCTTTTTTTAATCCCAGTTTAATGTTCTTCCATAGAACCTATGAAGGCAGATATCATTCATTAGTTTTCTTTTTTGATGTCACAAAAATAGTAATATGGGAAATCTGAAATACTGGTACTGATAAGGCATAATAAAAATAAGTTTGTCTCCTGATAATTTAGGTCATGGTGGAGAAATGATTGTATATTTCTTTCCCCCTCACATATAGGTATGGATTTTCCTTTGTGCAACATATCTTACTCTACCACCATGTTTAACATGCATATGCCCCTTTAAAATAGGTTACTATCCTTTTAAACAGGATATTCATTCAATGTGAATGCTACAAGCAGCAGGAGTATTGTATTTGGGTAGGCCATAAATAAGCAGGGTATAGGCAACAGGAAACAAACACATATTTTTGTGCCTAATAATGAAGATTAACTCACCTGCAGTTGTTGTACTGTTCTTGTGGTGACATCTTCATTTGCATTGAATTCTTTGCCAATTGCAGTCCAAGCACTTCTTTTCTTATGTTCAATAGCAGCAGTATGGATTTTGCTTTCAATGACTGGATGGTTCGATACAATTAGTTTTAGTAGTGCTTTTTCATGCTCACTATAATTTTTGGAGCGAATTCTCTTTGCCTCTGACATTGTGTTGTCTCAAAATTCACTGCAACAATGGTGTTTCATACTCCATTTCAGGTTTTCATGAGCACAATTGGACCAACAGCCTGTGCTTCCACTTAGTCTAATGAGGCTTGAACCAGGTGTTCTCATTAAGCTTACTCCAGGACTCCATAGTCTCAGACTAACTAAGCCAAATTTATGCCATGTTCATGCAAGCCACTTAAATAGCCAGGATTAACTAGTCTGATTTAGGCCTACTTCAGTCTTGATTTAAGCCCTGTCTCCGAAACCGGCCCAAAATGTTCCATCACAGGTTTTTGATTTCTCGCCCCGGTTCTGAAGTGTCACACTGTTGCCTGATCCGTCACACCAGACGAGCCATTCGGCTCCTGTGCTCTTTTCTGCAGAGCTGATCTCTCTCTCTCTGTATTGGTGTCTGATAATCACGTTAAATACCTTCTGGACACAACTGACCAACCGTCCGCCGCAAGGAAAGAATTAGAAACGTATCATTGGAGCGACGAGTAATCAGGGAATCTAAAGTCCAGCGTGGCAACTTTCCAGACGAGTTACGCCCACAAAAGAGTCATTTAACTGAAAAAAAAACGTTTTTAGCTCTAAATACAATACCTCTCCATTAGCCGCATGGACGTGTTTCCATGTGGACACTCGGGGGGAGGAATTGTCCTTCTTCCCGCGACACACACGGGAAGAAGGACAATAAGCGCTTAATGAGGTCCATTTACATTGAGATGTTTTATGGGGAAAAACACATTCCTTGTGTTTTTTGAGGTAAAAATGTTTGATTACACACAATGTTTGATTTTTTTTTTTTTTTTTGCACCGCATATTCTGCATCTTCCCTATTGCGCGTTTGAAACGGAGGTGGCCGTGTGTTTGTGAACCGCTCAGGAGGCGGAGGAGGAGGCGGAGAGCCCCGTGCGCAGCGTCCGGGACAGCGGCTACGTCGACTGCTGGGACTCCGAGCGCAGCGACTCCCTCTCCCCGCCGCGGCACGGCCGCGAGGACTCCTTCGACAGCCTGGACTCCTTCGGCTCGCGCTCACGACAGACCCCGTCGCCGGACGTCCCGGTCCCCCGCGGCGGCAGCGATGGTGAGTGAACGGACGACCCTCTTGCACTTTGCACCGGTGGGTGATCGCTTGAGAAGAGGTGTGATGTTGCGGTCGGCATGACTACCGTTGACAGTAAAGAAGCCTGTTTTTTTTGTGTGTTTAGAGTAGTTTGGCAGCATATAATTACTTTAAACTGTCGAGTCTACCATATGTTGTCATTGAAAGCGGTTCACTGCTGCACTTTATTTGAATTTGACCTTTTTAAAGAGAGCCTGTAAAAGGTTACAGAAGTTGTCATGATGTTGCTTTCATCTCTGAAATAACCCAGCGTGAGGCCTTCGTTCCGTCTGACTGTGTTGTTTTGAGGGAAGCACAGAAGGTCTTAGCCAGGCTGCCGCCAACCCGCAGAACCGACTGAAACCTCGCCGGACGTTTGGCGTCGGCTGCGGCGTCGGCTGCGGCCTCTAATGCTCGCTGTTTAAACACAGCAGTGACATCGTGGCCTCCGATAGCAGATGCGTTTCTGAGCCGCGCGTTTAGTGGCTGTTTTCAGGTTGCGATGTCCACCGCGTCCAGATGGAGGGTCATTTAACGGCCACATTTTTAGATGTTATCCTCTGGAGAAATCCATCGCAGAGGTGAGAGATGATGCTTTTTTTCCACCTCCTCAACAGACCAAAATGCAAAGCTGCCGCAAGCCACTAACACATGTAACCCACAGCTGTTATTCCCATTCCCAGGCCACCTCTGAAGCACAGCAACGTGCGCTGTCAGCATGGAAAAATGTACTAAATTGTTAACCCAATAAAAGAATGAAGACTCAAAAGCTTTTCACCTTTCGTTAATTCAACAAATGGTCTCGCCGCGTGCGATGGCTGCTACCCGTGGAACCCTTTTCCGCTCGTATCTCGAGGTGGGACGTAAAGGGACTCGCTCAAAAACTGGCCCCCGGCCTTCAGGCCGCCACGACACGACGCGGTTGGGGCCGCTGTAGTTTTCAAGCATCCGCATCATCCACCGTGGCCTCCCGAGGACAGAAATGATCAGAAAGACGGCGTCATCAGCGTCCCGGGAGGAGCGAACGAGAGACCCGAGAACCGAATAACAATGCAGCTATCGGCCAATCACAGCGAGCTGTGAGTCCGCCCAGAACAAGAGCACCTTTTTTATTCACTTGCGCACAAAGTCCACTCAGCCGGGATTTCCCCGCCCCGACCCCCTTTTTTTTTTTTAGACAAAGCCCCTTTCACTGTTCAGCTTTGCACCCAGACGATCGTCCTGAATTCATTTCCCTCTCTGAGGGAGTTGCTCCGTGTTGCCGGAGCGGTTCCGTTTTGAGCCTCTAAAGCGAGCGGCATCCCTCGCTCGGTAAATCCGACGCTTTGTGCGTGCTGGTGATCCGTGGCGACACACACACACACAGCCGGGGCATTTTTAATAAGGCATTTCCCACGCACAGGTGCTCTAGAGTAGCAGTGATCCAGCGTGTGCTTCTGCCCTCACGTCTTCGTGCCTAGCAGCCATCTCGGACATGAACTAGAACCTTACTCTTCTCATGCAATGGATGGGGTCCAGCTGACATCCAGGACATGGTCAAACCCGACATCCCAACCCGCACTCGCCGCTCTGCATCTGCAAAACTACTCGTTCCTCCCTCACTGAGAGCAAAACACTCGACTAGATCTCGACTCTTCGCTGTCCTTGCGCCGAAATGGTGGAACGAGCTCTCTGAAGACACCAGGACCGCAGAGAGCCTTCACATCTTCCGCCGCAAACTAAAGACACACCTCTTCAGACTCTGCCTCCACTAAAGACTAACAAATTGTAGCACTTAAATTGTACTTGTAACGTCACTCATCTATAGCAAATTGTAAATTGGCTTATTTGAGGAAATTGCACTTTCTTGTTTCTTGTTCTCCTGAGTTTGTACCCTATGGTTGAATGCACTTATTGTACGTCGCTTTGGATAAAAGCGTCAGCTAAATGACATGTAATGTAATGCTATGTTGTTCATAATTAGTTTGAGCTTTCCAAGAAATTCAAAACTTTAAAGTAAACGAATATCAAACATAATTTGGTCTGAGAAGGAAGAATACCTGCAGCTTTTCGTGTAATTCTAATATCCACAACCGTTAGCTTTAATCAGAAAATCCCATGATGCGGATATTTATTTCAATATTCTTAGTACTTGCTTACATTTTGCTCCAATGACTTCTTTAAAGAGAGTTAGATACTGTGTCCAAAGGCTCAGTTTGAGAATTAACATTCGTTATCTACAGCTGCTATAATCTGCTTCCTACATGTTTTATTCTTTTCTAGTAATAAGCTAAACGTAGAAATTTGTTTGCGCCATTGTTAAAAGAAATCCACGTTTTTAGGCAACCAATGCTGAATGGAACCGAACCGTGCTGTAGTTTTAGTCCGGAGGTCCAAACTCCGTCTAGACATCTGCTCTTCGCTCTGCCTCGACGGATGTTTCTCACATAACGGGAGAAATCCAGAATACCATCCCGGAAAGCTTCGCCATTTATATCACTTTAATGCCGTAAGACAAAGTGGACGGAAACACCGTCACTCTTCATTTGTAATTCTCTTTGTGCCTCATTGAGGCCTCACGGCTTTCGCAGTCCTGGTGGTTTTCCTGCTCGATGGCGGTTCTTGATGTAAATATGTTGTCTGCGAAGCGCTGGCACTGTAAGGCACTGACCCGGGACAAACGCTCCCTGTAGCCTCAGCGTTCCCAGATGTGCACAGCACGTCGGCCCCATAGACACATGTGTGAGGCCTTAAGACTTGGATGGTGAAGTCGCTCGAGTCCCGATTGTGAAGTGCAGATACATAAAGGCCTCCCTCAGACCTTCGACGTGTCAATCTTTTTAAACCACATAAAAAGTCCACTGATGGAAAGGGAGCTTTTTCTCTGCTGTTTGCCCTGAGAGACGCAGCTGCATCCACTTGTGTCGGCTCGGCAGGCCGGGAAGATTTCACGCTTTTGATCTGGTTGCAATTGTGGGTTTATACACTTGGAAAACGCGTATACGTTGAGTCATAATTTCAGTAAGTATACATCCAAAGGGAGGGGGAATGCCAGTGGCTTGCGTGCTGAGCATCTTGCAGAGGGGTTTTGGGTAAATTCAGGGCTGCAGGTTACCGGTAGTTCCAACTGTCTTAAGATGTAACGGCACATCAATTGGATTTAGTTCCCTCTTTTTTGTGCGGGTCGCTGGTTAACACCTTGGGGGAGGAATTCCTGACGTCCGGCGGGGGGAAAGTCCTTGAGCGGCGCACTCCTGCAGCGCCAGGTGTCAGCGTGTTTCAAACGGGATTCCTAAGTGAATTCTTCCGATCTGCAGCCTAGAATTAAGACCGCAGCAGCGGCACAATACGAATTTCCTGATGATTTATTGCTTCTTAAAAACAGGCCGTCATCCCGCTTGGGGTTGATTTATGTTCCGTTACTGCAGAGCGCCGCATAAAATACCACCGGAAGAGCACTTGACTGTTATGTGAGCTTAAATGACGTAACGACGCCGAGGCCAGTGGAAGAAATAAAAAGGATAAAAATCCTCCCCTCTCCTCAACAGGCCGCGGCAGCGACTCCGAGTCGGACGGCCCCGCCCACCGGAAGACGCCGGACGTGCGCAAGGACGACATGTTGGCGCGGCGAACGTCGGTCAGCGAGCCGCGGACCGCCGTGCCCTTCAACCAGTACCTGCCCAACAGGAGCAACCAGAGCGGCTACGTGCCGGCGCCGCTCCGCAAGAGGACGGCCGATAAAGAGGAGGGCGCGCGCAAGAGCTGGAGCACCGCCACCTCGCCTGTAGGGGGGGACGGGCCTTTCAGGTGAGGTGTTAGAAGGTGGCGAGCGGAGGACTGACCAGCAGAGCTTCAACCCCGAGAATCGCGGGTGCGACGCTGCCAAACTCAAAACTCCGATTTAAACGACACATTTAACCCCTTTACGTGACGCTGCATTTAACAGAAGACGTGGAGCCTTAAATATTCAAGCTTTAGGTTTTTTAAGTAACTAAATACTCATGTTATACAAGTTGGTGGTCATGGATGCCGTAATGTTGTGACAGGTTTTGCCAAATTCTTTAAAACTACTTGTTTAAAAGAACACGTTTGATGAGTTAAATGTAGCCTGCAGAAGAAGCGACATGGTGGGATTTATGATTTTGAAAGTGGTGTTCAAACTGTTGATTATGGTTCTCTTCCCGGTGTGCGCGGTGCTGATGGAGGCCACGTGTGCGTGTTCATTGGCTCTGACTGGGATTGAAGCGAAAGGGTGAAATGTGTTGCTCAGACGAGGCAGATTGAAGCCTGACGGTATTACTGGCAGCTACTGGTTTGGCCTGTCGGCAGTGTCGGGATCAGTTCCATCATCGCTCTCACACACTAAGTGGATTCTTTAATGGGCTTTGATCTGTTTCCATCTGTGTGTGTGTGTGTGTGTGTGTGTTATACCCATTGTGTGTCGCTAGTGTGCGCCTTTATTCATTGATTTTGCACTTTGTTTTTTTATCTCCATCCTTCGTGTCGTGTGAACCTCATGTGTCCCACGTCCCGCGTCCTCCCTGTCTCGTGTCCATATTGCGGCCATACCGTCGTCCTCTCCCCCCCTCCCCGCGTGTGAATGGCCGACGTTAACAGTCCGAACGAGGTCCCTAGCTTAGACGATCCACCCGCAGAGTCTTCCGGACCGCCCCCCCGCCCCCAGGCACGGACTCCGATGGGGACGCGGACAAAAAAGGGCCGAGAGGAAGGGGAGCAGACCGCTTCCGCACCTCGCGTCGCGATCCGTGCAGCGGGCGTGAGGAGGAGCAGCGAGCCGCTGGCCCGTAGCCCCCCCCGGCCCCACGCAGAGACCCCCACGGAGACCGTGAGGGTCACCTCTAAGCAAAGGTCCTCCCCTTGATTCACGTTCTGCCCCAAATAAGCTGCCCGATTACGTTTGTATGACGACGGTTGTGATTCACGGTTTTGATTCGTATTTCCTCTAAATTAACCTGATCCAAAAGATAATAGTCTTTATAGAACCTGAATGAATTTCATGTTTTTTTCACAGTGTTGATGCATCCGAGGGGTAAATATGTAAAAAAAAACGTACCTTTCAGAGGACGAATCACTGACTGATGGTCGGAATGATGTCTGGAATAAGAACAAACTGTTCTGCTGCATCGGTTTTCCCGTTATGCTAAACCAGAGTTATTTAGATGACTTCATGTCTTGTAGGTTCTTATTGCAGCAGAATATTTGTTTGCACGGCCCTACCAGATGAATATTATTGTATTTTTGCCACTCAAAATGCAAATAAATCTGCAGCTCACCAGGCCAACAACAATGTCCCGGTTAATCGGGGTCGTGCACATATTTCACTTTCCATCAGGAACCTTCAATAGTTTCAACTTTCACAGCTGGTATTTCCATTCAGCCCTTTTCCTCCGTAACGCTACTGGATCATCACTTCCAATGCCGTCCTCATCCAGAGCCTCGTAGCAGTGAGTCAGCAAGAGGTTCAGGGCTCATTGAGACGTCGAGGTTAAACCGTTGTCATGCTGGGTGTCTGCCGGCAGGGGGTCACTCGTGTAAACATGATGTCGCATTAGCAGGGTGAGGATCATGAGCGGCGATTGCTTCGTCCATCCCACGAGGAGTCGGTCCAGCGCTCTTTCTGCTGACATTTCCTGGTCGTTTCATTCACAGTCCGGTTGCAGAGTAATTAGAGTCGTTTCCATCTTTTTATTTGGCACAGATGTGATGGATTGGATCGCATTTTGGACGTGAAGAAACCAGACTGTCGAACGGCTGAAAGACGAGGGGGGATTTCCAGGATGTTTTGAAAAGGCTTGTTTAGTTGATAACAGCTTGCATTTTGCAAGAGTCTCTGTGTTGTAAGCTTTGCCAGGAGTTAAATCTTACGCAAAAATGCACTGCATGGTGTTCACACAAAACGTTCCCAGGGAAGTCGAACGTGCGACCCACCCTCAGGATGTCAGGAAATGAGGCTTTCTTCCTTCCGTGACCCTGAGCAGAGCAGGAATGGAGCGCGGCCTTTTCGTAGCCTTTCTCTCCCTGCAATGCATCCTGGGGATTTAGAGTCCAATAATAACCCTTTCAGAAGGTGGCCGTTCATCACAGGATGCCAGACGACTGAGGGTTCAGCGGATTTCTGCTCCGAAGGGATTTGAGTAGTTATTTTTTCAGATTTATTTTGGAATGTCTGATGAAACGGGGTGATAACCAGCAGAGCGCTTTAGTTCCCTTTTTGCTTTCTGCAGCACTCCAGCTCGCTCGTGCTCAGAGGAACTCTTCCACCATTCGAGCGCCGCGACGGCCGCCGCGAGCCCCGCCGTCGCCCGCGAGAAACGTCCGCCGGCGGCGCCCGCGAGGGAGGGAGCCGGCGGCGTCCCGTCAGCCGCAGGGCGAGAGGAGAAGCGGCCCCGCCAAGCGCTGACCCCTCCCAAACGCCTCGCCACCCCGAGCCCCCCGCGCCTCCTTCCCGTGCCCGACGCCACGGCAGCCGCGGCGGAAACGGGCCGACGGAAGGGGAGGGCGCTGAGCGAAAGCGACGACCCGCAAAGAGGAAACCCCTGGTTGGACAGCGGCCTTCCGGCAACGTGAGCCCCCTTTCCACCCCCCCCACCCCCGCCATCACCCCCGCCATCACCCCCCCATCACTCCCCCTCCAGCTACTGCATCACATCTAATGAATCTCAAACCACTAATTCACCTCTAACATCAAGGAAACTACACATTTTAAATCTCAGCATGTGACCTCTGACCTCAATGCTGCTACCTGGATGACGTCACTCTCCACATTGCATGACCTGTTTATTTGATGCTGTTTTCTAAGGAGCTTGTAAAGAGAATAATGGAAACCTCTCTGTTAAGAAGCATTTAAGAACGATGAGGTGATTTTTGATGAAATACCCATCATTTTAAATGACATCCTTCCACCTAATCCATATACTTAATTGGGGAATAACAGCAATGGACAATTATATTTGACCCTATTTCAAATCTGCGTTATCTGGCAATAAATTGGCGAAACCCATGCCAATCAATCAATCCCTGACCATTCCGATGTATGCCAGTGAAATACTGGTTTAGCGCGACATCTTTCTACCAACAACATACGGCAAGAAGCCATTTCATACAACAGCCCAAGCAGTCTCTGGGGTCCTGATTTAGCGATGCCTCTTAGTTTACACTCCTTGTTCTCTCTGCGGCGAGAAACCACAGGCCACACGGCCCCCCCCCCCGAACACCACAGAGGCCGCTCCCTTCGGGCTGTGTGTGAATTCGCGAGTTGAGGTCGAGGCCGAACCCACAGACAGAAACCGTCTGGTGCCGTATGCCAGCGCGGACGCAGTGAACTTGTCTCGGGCTCCGCGCTGGCTGCGTCACGGAGGACACTGCCCCCTTGTGCTTGGTTCGAGGATCGTCAGTGACGTCTGGACATCCCATCGTCCCGTTTGCTCGTAGTCATGTGTGATTGTGCTCTCTCTCTCTCTCTCTCTCTCTCCATGCCTTCTGTAGATTCAGCCGCACACATAGTGTGTCATGTGACCCGCAGTAAGTTGTCCATTTGCCACTCGGAGGCTCAGCTACCTGGCTGCTCCGCACTACCAAACACGGATCTCTCAATCAGCCATTCGGCCCTTCGTGTAGTCTTTGAATCGGCTTTTTCTTCATGCAAGTGGGAAAATTGGTTGAAGTAATTTGAGGAAACTTCAGTGGCGATATTTTGTGCCAGTTTTTGTCTTACCTCGTTTTTATTTTTGATTGAAGTGCAGATCGTAGTGCAGCACTTTGCCTTGTTCCTAGTTGGCCTAGAATGCATTCATGCATTTGTGAACATTAGATATGAACCCTGTGATGAGTGAAAGGAGAATATGGAATAATAACTTTTTCTCACCTGTAAATACGTCAATCTCAAAAGCTTAGAATGGAATGGAATTCCAAATATCAATTATCTTGCTTGGTTTTCAGGCGAAATTTGTCTTTGAAATAAATTCAGGAATTAAATCCCTGGTCCATGATCCTCCAGGTGTAGACGGATTTGAACGGACAACAATAACGTCTTGAATTAAGCTGATGTTTCCTGCTTGCATTACTCAAATGGAGATTGTAAATCAGTCAAATGACCTTGGACGAGGACTGTTTTGGCTCTTCGCTGGTAAACCATTCGCCTGATGCTTAACGCTGGACCTGCGAAGCGATCCTCCGTCGTGACCGGAGAGGACTTACTGAACTGTGCTGCTCCGACATCATCCGTGCTTCTACTAGCTGCATGTTTCACAAGACGCAACCCTTTCAGTCACCCAGCATCCCTCACCAAACACATCCTCATGGAGATGATGTAAAAAGTGCAGCTTTTTGTGAAGCGGGCGAGATGATTCTCACCCAGGAGAGGAGGCTTTGTTTTTATATTTGGAGGAGCCATTTTTCAGCATCGTACCCTTCCTACTACATTTCTAATGTACAAAGAGCATTTTAATCGTCTCTTTTGTTGAGAAAGTGAAAATGTGAACCCTTTATGAATATCAAACCGTCAACGATTATCTCACTCGTGACTTTGTCTGGGATGAGCTGCTCCAAACCAAAAAGCTGCTCTTCTCCGGAGGCTTTAACCCTACTCACTGAACATCTGTAAAGACCTCACCCGCTCCCACTGAAGGTGCCGAAGGTCTTCAATGGTCTCACGCACGTCCTCCTAACCTCTCAATGTGTCGCGTTATAACACTGTGATCATATATTTCTTTGGTTATGTTGCATTGGTTCTCAGTGGGGATCAAGAGGTCACCTTTGACGAGGAACCTTTCCAGTCATGTGCTCTTTATTGGACGCATTATTTTTGGTGTCCGTGCTGAACTGTTGGTTACAGATTATTCTCTCTTTTTTTTTTTGCTAATGATGGATTGGCGCAAAGTGAGCAGCTTTAGCCGCTGATGAGTGTATTTACTGTGTTGCTATTGACACATTGAGTCCACATCATACAAACAAAGTGTACTAATAGCACAGTGAAACCAACTAAACCACGTCCCACTCTAGAAACGACGAGATGTCAGCGCATATTTTTATCTGTCACTCTTTCTCCACCCCTCTTCTCAGAAGTGTGAGTATGATGGACATGCGAGGAGAGGAGGAGGCGGCGCTGCAGCCTCACAGTCAGGTGCGTCATGAGCTGATGCACGACCAGTACAACAGGATGAAGGAGGACGACGACCACTGGCAGGACGTGAGTGTCTCCGTCTTCTCTCGCCGCCGCGTCTTTCTTCGGCATTCCCCGCAGCGCTGCAGAGCCGAGCCCCCGCTCGCCCCGTTTCCCCCCCCAACTCAACCTCTCCCAATGTGTCTGCGTGTCAGGACCTGGCCCGGTGGAAGAATCGGAGGAAGAGCATCTCCCAGGACCTGATCAAGAAGGAGGAGGAGAGGAAGATGATGGAGCAGTTGATGACTGGGGGAACATGTACCTCCCAGAGGAGGAGAAGCATCAAGACCTACCGAGAGATAGTGGAGGAAAAGTAGGGGAAATACACGCAAGTAGGATGTATTGATCTGATCAGGAGGCTTTAATCTTCATTCTGTTTCCTGTTATTGGGCACAAGGAGGACGGCGACTCTCCCTGGAGATCATTGACAGTTCTCCCATAGAGGAGATAATGAAAGAGAGAGTAGGTTGCTTCACATTGTACACAGCTGATTGGCTTTTTGTTCATTCTTTCCCTCCGGGTACCGCCTTCGCCCTTCGTCAGGGAGCGCCGTGAGGGTGAGCTGCGCGACGCGTACCGGAGAGCCAGAACCCAGGAGGAGGCCTCGCTCATCCTGCAGCGCTACGCCCAGCGCTTCTCCATCAGCGAAACCGCCCTGGAGCGCCTCCAGCTGCCCAAGCTCCTGGACCGCAGCGTGTCGGCTGACCCCTCCGTCCCGCCGTGCGCCTCCCCGACGGCCCCGGACCCCTTCGACGCCGACGGGCCCATGAAGTACCTGCGCCAGCAGTCCGCCCCGGCCCCCAAGTTCACGTCCACGCTGGAGGCGCGGATCGAGGAGTTTCCCAGCGGGCCCCCGCACCAGCGGCCCCAGATCCGCTCGCGCTCCTCAGAGCCGCCGTCCAACAGAGCCCTGTCGCCCAAACCGCTGCCGTTGCTGACGCCCAAGCCTTACTTCCAGCCCACGGCCGGCGAGCCGCGGCCCAGCCAGGTGGGACTGACTCAGATGCTCTGGTCATCGTCTTAAATATTAACGCTAACTGGTAATGACCTCATGCGTACCGATTTTACAAATTTAAATGTGTTAAGTGGAACGTGTGGTTATTTCCCACTAGGGGGGGATTCCTCCCTTGGCACTTGCATCAGGATGCCACAGAAACCCCCCCTGGTGGTGATGAGGCAGCTGGTTTCTTCTTGTCATGCTTCCATTTGGCTCAAAGTACTCTCAACAGGATCCATTTCCTTTTCTCCTGCAACGCTCTTCCAAATGAGATCTCGTGTGTCGGTGAGGCGGGGAGGGGGGGAGGGGGGGCGACCGCTACCAGACCGAGCGGAGCACAGCGCCTTTGCGGAATGTCTTGCCCGGGAGTCCGAGCGGAGCCCGGCTTTGAATGGAGCCCTCTGTTCCCCTGTTGACTTAAGAAGCTGACGAGGAGGTCCCTCTCGACGTGAAGTGGGCTCCGGGCGGACAAAGAGCGCCCACACAGGCTGCGAGGAGAGGGATGAGGAGGTGGGGGGGGGCAGACTGGGAACCTACATTCACCCAACTCCTCCGCTGTGTCTTAAGTTACGGCTCACTAGGAGCTCCTCACACATGCGTCAGGGGCTCTTTGTCAGGCCGGTGTCGTGGGCCAGATGAATAGCTAATAGCGGACGGAGACGAGAGGCTGGTGACGACCACAAACGAGGGCACTGGGTTTGCAGGCTCTGGGTTCGTCCTCATTTCTGCCGATTTCTCGTAGTTTTAACCCGTGTTTCCCTCGTGAAGGGAGGAAAATGACAAAATTCAAACATCGAGAAGCTCACGCTGAACCGAGATGAATTATTTACGCTTCACGTTTTGATGAATAAATAATCCAAATCCTTTGAAAGAGAGACTATATGCCCTGAAAGAGAATGTTTAACTCGTCAGCCAAATCTTTCAAGTGATCATATTTCATATCGCGTCCTGGTCTGGACCATTTCCAAAGCCCGTCTCCTTGGGCTCTGCAGCGGGTTCAGCCAGTATTAACCGCGTTGTCCTTTCCAGGCGGCTGGTTTGCTCCGAGTCAACGGCGACGCTGGAAGTGACGACGCGGCGAGAGCGAGTCGAGGACGGGAGTCTCCCCCCGACTTCCCCCAGGCGTCCCCTTCCAAAAGCCCCTCGTCCGCAGCCCCCCCACCGACGCGCCGTCCGCTCCTCTCGACCGCAGGAGCAAACCCCGTGTCGACAGAGGAGGCCCGAGGCGGCTCAGAAGCGACTGCTAAGGACGTCCCGGGAGGACGAGTCCTCCTCATTCAACATTCAACGCCCCCCGGCCGGCCCACCTCGCTCCCGTCGGTCAGGATGAGGAGTTTTAACTATCTAGCGATCACTTGCTGCATTGGGCTTTGTCTTAAAATCCCCTTTACAGTCTTTTTAATTTGTTTAATTGACGCACACGCCTCTGGATCTCAGGCTTGATGTATTATTCCGTGATGCAGGAGCTGCAGAAGCCAGGAGGAAGCCTCGGGGGGACCGGAAGTCGGTCGGTAGCGGCTCCAGAGGAGGAGAGGTCCAACGCTGCAGGTGTGAGGCAGCGGGTCGTCATTTGTTCTCATTCTAACTAGAAGTTCAGGGAGGATAAAGCTGTGTTTGCGTGTGTCGTCAGAAGCCCGTCCCTCCAGCGTTGTCCGATCGGGAGTCGCCACGGAGCAAAATCAGCCGGTGACTTTACAGGTGATTCTTCGTCCCAAACTAATGTCCCTTTTTACTGACGTCCAGCAGATAAATCGTTGCATCTCCCTGCAGGAAAGTGTCCCCAGGTCCCAGGACTGTTCACTGAGAAGAGAGAAGGTCCCGAGCTTAGCTTCTCCAGGATCGTTTGAACGCGCCCCCCCCAGGGACACGGCAGCAGGTTGGTGAACTCTTTACGTCCAAATGCCACGCCAGCGACTTCTTTCCATGCATCTCCTTGGCTTCTGAGTTTGTTTTAATCCGCCTGGCTGGCCTTTTTTTTTTTTTTTTTCTCCTTTCGCCCGTCGGCGTGATTCTTTCTGTTTGGATCAGGATTCCAGGGGAGTTGTGATTGTTATCAACCTGCATAAACTCCTCCTTTGTCTTTTTTAATCCGCTTGACAGACACATATATTAAATTGACCCTTACTCTAAACTACCTGGTTCACCTTTCCAATGTAGGTGGACTTACATGCTAATTACGCCTGAGATCCAATACAAATTCAAGATTCAATATTACCTTATCAGAGAGTCTAATAAACACACCTCGTTATTATTTCTTCCTGCCTTTATTCTGTATTCAGGCCCTCAAGTTACGTTTTTAGTTGTTTGTTTTCTTTAATTCAAGGGGGGTAGAAAAACACTTTGACTTTTTGACTTTTTCTTCAATTAAAACTGATTTATCAGGTGAGCAGAACGCCCTTCCCAATGTGTTTACTCCACATATCTGTTTCCTCCCTCCCTTCTTTCCTTCCACCCGCATCATTTTTTGTACTCGGCTATAGAGTTTGCAAACAGTGTCAGGTCTCCGCTGGCCACCAGCAACCCTAAGTTACGGCGGGAGTTCTTCGTGCCGGCAGGTAAACCCCTTCGTTCACCGGTGGACCTCCCGGGGTCATCGGGGTGTGATGCCATTGTTACTGTTCTTTACTTTGAGTCATATCATCGTGTTGATTAGGATGTTCTTGTCCCCGTCGATTTAGGAAAATGCATCGTGGTGGACCTTGTTAACTCTATGAATGATCAGTTTCATCTTTGTCTCTTTGTGCTTTACATCCACCAGAGCCACAGCTTCAGGTCGCCGATCGATAAGCCAATGTTGGTTCTGAATAATTGGAAAGGCGGCCTATAAACGACTCCCCGATTGAAATGTTTTCAATACTTTCCTGTTTGCTTTGCTGCCCTTTAATCCAATCCGAGGGCGGATCAACACACTGACGCGCGCCCACGGAGATGGATTCAAATAGACCCTGTAATCAAAAACACTGATCTGAGAACCCTTAACCTCAACTTCTGAGTCCTTTAAAAAAAATACTTTCAATTCCTAGCTTTCCAAATCAAAACCTAAAGACAAAAGTACAGCGAGGTTCATCCCGCTTGGTTGACTCGTGGAGGATGTTGCTCTCGGTGGATCGATCTCTCGCTTTGTTTCCTTCATCAGCATCTCCACTGCTTAAGCTGTCAAACCAGCTCTTCCAGTGTTGTCATTTCGCTGAAGATTTGTCCCATTCGAAGGCTTTTGGCTTCATGACGTATTTAAATTGTATTTGAACTAAAGTCCCCCATCATGTTTCCTCTACAGAGGAGGAGGATTATAAGGATCGTCGAGGAAACGTGAGTAAAAAAACAAAGTGCCACGTTACAACATGACAAACCCCCTTTTACCGCTTCTCATCTGGCTCCCGCGTTACAGAAGTGTAGTTTAACTGTGTGCACAGAGAGTAAACGGTAAAATGCTGAAAACATAGTCTGCAGGTAGGAGCAACGCAGCTGTAGCGCGCCAGATGAGGACGCAGTAGAAAAACGGATTAAATTCGAGCTCATTTCTCTGTTTCTCTGTCTTCTCTCCTTAGTAGGAATCCTTTGGCTAGCATTGGAGTAGTGATGGTAGACCAACTCTTTCTGTCTCCTCCCTGCCCTACTTCTTTTCCTGTGGTGGATGTGTGAACACATTTGTGTGTGTGTGTGTGTGTGTGTGTGTGGAGGCCATATCGATCTCCTTGGCTTCACGGATTGGTGTGGGAGAGTGTTTGTTTGTGTGTGTGAGTGAATCAGTTTGTTGGTAACCATGAATGTGTGCATGAATATGTGTGTGTGTGTGTGTGTGTGTGTGTGTGTGTGTGTGTGTGTGTGTGTGTGTTTCGGGTCTACCAGGTGTCAGTCCCGGTGTTGCCCCAGGCCAGGCGGGGTGACCGCTGGTCTTGGGACCCGGACGGGGAGCGAATGCGTCAGGAAAGGTGGCAGCAAGAGCAGGAGCGCATGCTGCAGGTACACGGAATACCTCGCCGGGTAAAGCGTGGCGCGTGAGGTCGTAGGGCGCTTAGGGGGCCGTGACGATTAGGCGTTAGGACTTTTGGCTGTTGCGGGATAACGAACAAAAAGACAAGGAAGGAAGGAAAGGAAATCAATGGTTGAGGTGTTAAAGCCTGTTAATTATGAGGCGTCACACTCTCACTAAAGTTATTCTAACACACAGCTCAAGCTCAGGGAGGAAGTTTGGCATTCAGCATGCGTAGCTTTATTTTTTTTCACATTTACAAAATGCAGGTACTACAGGAAAATTGAGACTTGCTTTTCAAATGCGATGCACAAGCATTGCGTCTCATCAGTAAGCCTCGACGAGTTGAGTAGCAGAGAGATCAAAAGACGCGTCGGCTTTAAACTGGGCTGTCTTCACAGGCATCCAGGTTACATTTTAAATGTTTTTTTCGGCGAGGCAGGTCCAAACCAGAAGGCCCAAACTGGAATACTCACTGTTCTCCGTATACTGTGAATCATGCAGCGGCACAAGAAGCTGCAATGTGTCGGATCAGGTGGATTCACCACATTTCATTGCTCCACACAAAGCTTGCGTCCGTGTTTTTCTTTATTTTTTCCATATTGAGCCGATCCTCTCCAGATGCACGCGCTGACCACCGGGGGGCGCTGGTGTGCAGCCTAAGAGCCGTCTCCATCTCACGCACGTAGACACGCTGCTGCTGCTCAGATCACCCTCTCTCTCCTCAGCCAATCAGAGGTGCATCGAAGGTGCACGTGTTGTTCAAACGTGTCATGGTACTCTTGACGTACTGCACTCATCTGCAGTGTCATCTGTTTTTTTTTAATAAGTCCCATCAGTGATGAGGACACATTTCTGGTGTTTCCGATGAGATGCGCTGAATGGGGTGAATGTCCGCCTGGTGCATCAATGTGCTCGTTACTTCCTGCTTGATGTTTGTGTTGTCTCTGTGCTTTGATCCGTTCTGTCCTTTTGGGTCTTTCCATTCGAAGGTTCCTCCATAATTCTAAAAAAGAGTGAAAATCTGTTCTCCTGATGTCTGTGCTGCACACATCAAGGAAAAAAAACAATGAAATATTGTTAAAATGAAAATTGTGTGGGAACCTGTGCATGCTCTCCTTCTGCGTTTGTCCACTGTAACTACTTCTGCCTTTTTTTTGCTTTCTTTTCATTCCTAACAAGTAGGTGTCAGATGTTTAGAGTAGCTTTCGTTCCATCCATTTATGTCTCAAAGTCCAGATTCCTATTTATTACATACTGAATGAATCACACATGGACAATATATATATATATATATATATATATATATGATTTGTCAAGTGGGTCTTTGTCCCTTCTAGGATCAGTTTAAGCAGTGTGCCCGAAAAGGCCTGAATTCCCTTTTAAGTGAGCCTGTCGATGCCGCGCCACTTCTGGTTTTACTGCCAACGTATCGATTGGCAGATCAGCTTTGTGTCGGCCTCCGTTTGAGGCTCCGGGCTGCCTGTCATGTGTCTGTTGCCATGGTGACAGGAGAAGTACCGGCGCGAGCAGGAGAAGCTGAAGGAGGAGTGGGAGAAAGCCCAGAGGGAGGTGGCGGCGGAGGAGAGGAAGTACCACGAGGAGGTGCGTGCGTGTGTATTTTCTCGCTGCTGATCTCGACCCATTGTGGTGCTTATCTGTTGTTGTTGTTGTTTTTAAATACTCACCCAGCCCTCCCATCACAACAGGAGCGCAGGATACTGGAGGAAACCGTGGCGCCTCTGACTCCCCGCCCCTCGGCCCTGCCCTCCCCCGGCCTGGGAGGCGTCTCCTGCGCCCCGGAGCCCCGGGACCCCGTCGTCCGCTCGCTGGCCGACTGGGAACGCAAGCAGGAGCTGCTGGAGAGGCACACGGTGATTTAAGCATCGTTTGGCGGAAGCCGTCCGTCCTGGAGCGGGTGGAGTTACTTGAGTGGGCGCGGCGTTGCCGTCTGTGATTGGTCGCTCTGCTAACTGTGCCCTGTGTGTGATTGGACGGCGCAGAGGGGGAGCTCAGAGGGCGCGGAATGGAAACGCAGAGACAACGACAGGACCAGTGACATCAGCGCCGCCGACGACGGCATGGAAACGGCCAGAAGGTTGGCGGGTCAACTCGCAAGTGATAAATGAAGCGGGGAAAAAACACATTTTTATCTGACATTCCGAGCTACGGTTGCTCAAGATGTTACAACGTTATTTCTAGTGGGAGACGCACAATATGTATATCAATATATAGATTATAAAGTAGACAACACAATGAAATGTCACGTGAGTGTTTATGTGATGAGGGCCGTTCGTACGGTGCATTTCAGTGGGATCAGAGGGAGAAGATACGACGATCCACGCGGTGTCTTTCTGATCCTCAGCTCGGTGAGTCGGAGCAGCAGCAGCAGCCAGCCGGAGACGCTCGGTCACGCTCTGCAGAACGGACAGAAACGTCCCGCCGCGTCGACACCGGAGCAAGGAGAGGCGTCAGCGGGCAGCGACAAGCCCGACCGGCCCGCAGGAGACAGGAGGTGTGTGTGTGTGTGTGTGTGTGTGTGTGTGTGTCCGTCCTCAAAACAAGTTCAGCTTTTTCTTTTTTAAGTTCAGTCCCCTTTCAGTTTTACGAACCCTTCTGTAATATACAGAATTAATTAATTAATTAATGCTCCGTGTTGTGGTATAAGACAATGATTTAAAAAGAAGGTTCAGTGTTTACATTAAATTCATTGACCCCAGAATTTGTTTTACATTATCTCCATTTTAAACATGGCCTTAGTTCCTCACATTACTTGTTCTATTTGATAGAATTCCTCTAGATATAATTCTCATTTCTTTCTGGCTGTAAACACATATTTGTGCTGGATTTGAGTGGATCCTAACCTGTTCGACCAGCAGGTGGCATGTGGCCCCTGCGTTTGGCCCCCCACAGCCTCCGTCCACACAGAGGAACAGTGGTCTGTGACAGATGTTTTAAACGTGCATTAGTCAGTATCACATAACAGAGCTCTTTAAAGAATAAAGTACGTCTGAGCCATGTAGTTTGTTCTGGCTTTGATCTGTTCGTGTCAGAATCTGGCGGCCAATCCAATCGCTGTATCTGTGAGTCGTCATCATTATCATCATCATCATCATCATCATGTTGCATGTTGCTGTCCATTTCCAGGAGTGGTCCCATCGATAGTAATATGTGCCGCAGCTCATCGAAAAAGCCTGCGGCATGTCCACCGCCTCCAGACACGGCACCCAACAGGTACCGCATCCCAAACAGCCCACAGGGAGGGAGGGAGGGAGGGAGGAGGGGGAGGAGGGGCTCACTTTCTGCACTGTCATTTCCTGCTTTTTCATCTCTCACTCGTTTCATGTAGCACTGCAGCAACGTCCCGTGAATGCAATGTGAATTTCAATACAACGCGAGGCAACTGGTGTCTTTTAATCATTTTAAATAGAAGAAAGCAACCGCGAACATTGATGACCGCGGATAGACGTTGGACTGTTGACACTGACACACGAGAAGGTTATTCCTGTCACATGGTTTTCTGTCCCTCCTCCCTCCTGCAGGTCAGTCAGTGGGAAGAAGCTGTGCTCCAGCTGTGGGCAGCCTTTGGGGAAGGGGGCGGCCATGATCATAGAGACCCTCGGGCTTTACTTCCACATCCACTGCTTCAAGGTCGGTGCCACCGTTCAGGCAAATTCTGATTAAGTCGATGCGCACGGTTTGACCGACATGTTTACGTTGGGACTAATCAGTCACCGGAGCACCAGATGCATATTAATCCGCGGCTGAAAATAGTCCCCCTGCAAATGTGCTGTTTAATTTTTTACAGCGCTGCAAATCCTTTGCACTAATTAAATTAAGCTAAACACTGTTAAAGATGAACTCTTCGGTGGGAACCGTCTCGAGTGTCCGAGACAGAGCGAGGGACCTCAGAAAACTCGATATTAATTTCCCCCGCCCTCCTCTCACCAGTGCGGTGTGTGTCACGGACAGTTGGGCGACACGACTACGGGGACGGACGTCCGGATCAGAAACGGCCTCCTCAACTGCCACCAGTGCTACATCCGCTCCCGCTGTGAGTCCATCTACCCGAATCATTAATGAACGTGTGGCGCTCCCCCCCCCCTAACCCTGAACTGAAACACACAAGCACCACAAATAGGAAGATAACGTCACTGTTGCATAATTCTCATAATAGTGGGTGGAGTCGTGTGGTTCCTTGTTGTTTAATGTCAATGAATGAATGTCGATGAATAATGTCAATGAGGTGATGGTGTCACGGCAACAGCAGAAAATACAGAGCTTATAAAAATTGTGGCCTTATTTTTCTCTTCGTTTCTTTTTCCTTTCAAGCGGCCGGACAGCCAACCACGTTGTGACGCTCGACAGAAAAGCACGCGCTTCGTGGAAGGAACTGCATTGTTTTAAACCCATTGCCTGCAAATCATGTCCTGCACAGCGTGGAGGGACCTTTGCATCCTCTGCAGCTCGGTAACCAATGAAGATTCATCACGGGGGTCTGGGGACAGTCGAACAGATTAAAATATATATATATATATATATATATATATATATATATATTTCCTTTTTTTGGATAGGAGCAGGTTGCTCCTATGTGTGTATGTAAATATATTCTTTGTGTGTATGTCATCCATTATGTGAGTGGAATCTGGATTTGATTGGTCCACGTACAACCACAGACTCATGCATGTTCCTTCATGCAAAAGGGAGCGAGAGAGACAGAAGGAGAGGGAGGGAGAGAGAGAGAGAGAGAGAGCGAGAGGGAGAGAGAGAGAGAGACTTGTTCTCCGGTGGCGGCCATGTTAAAAAATAAAATGCCACGCTTCAAACACAGGTTGATGTTAAGGCAGTGAACAAAGAGAAAATATGGGGTTCCAGTCTTTGGTTAAGTTAAAGCAGATTCTATTTTTCCGGGTTGAAATCCCGTTCTTCATTTTAGCATCCTTGTGTCTGTAAGAAAGATGTTCCTAATTTGGAAAGAAAATCCTCAGTCCTGCAGCTCCGATTGGATTTTCATTATATTTTTCTGAACATATATGATCTGTGAAACATTGATAATTCTAAGACCCTTTAATTTAGTGCAAGATTTAAACAAAACTATATACAGAAAGTTCATTTACAGAGTAAATGTCCCTCTACGCCCTCACAGTGACCCCTAATGTCTGTCGTTCTGCCCTCCTGAACAAATCGATCTTCTAAAAACACATTTTATAGATGTAGTTTCCTCTTCGGGGCAATAACTACTCGTGAGCTGTTTTGGTGCTTTTGGGTCACAGCAGGTTGCTCCTCAGCCTGTCTGCTCAGAAAGTCAGGACTTTAATGTGCCTTAGGAAAAGCAAGGTGATGCAGGAAAAAACACACTGGCTGTGTTTGATTTCTTTCTTCTTTTTTTTTTTTTTTAGGGTGTAGGGAGAGATTTGGCCAAATTTGAACACGTTTAACTGCAGACAGACAGACAGGCTGCAGCTCTCCCTAAATATTGCTTTTTTTACATGAATGACATTTCATATCTCCCCGTGATTCCTCCGGGTTTGCAGTGATAAATATCAGTGTAAAGGAAAACATTTGCTGTTTATTTAGAAACCTATAATGCAGGGGATAACGTTGATTTAATTCTGAATGTTGTTTTATTATAGAGAAAGACGCCATTAATTGAGGTAATTTGATCATTTCTCATGTGGTAGGATTAATTTCTAAACTTGCATCAACACAATGTTGAAACTATAAGAGCAGAGGTCATATGAACATTGCAGCAGTTGCACCTGTGCAAATTTTGGTTGGATGAAAAGTACCTGCTGGACATTTAAAATAATTGCTTCATTTTTTGGGGACGTGTGTGAAAGGAGCTCGGTTGTGTATTGCAGAGGTAAAAAAAAAAAAATGCACGTTTAAGCCTAAAACCAAATGATTTGCTATCAGAAAGCAAACTAGTCCTCCTGAACGGCGTCCTAAAGCCAAGCTTCTCCTGCGGGTTCATCTCTCTGTTCTACAGTATTTTTAAGCTTCTGTTTCGGTTGTGTATTTTTTTATTTTTATCCTCATTTAGTTAATGAATAAATATCAAGTCTCTTTTATCTTTGAGACATGAGCTCTATATTTAGACGGGCTTCTGCAGGATGGTTGAGGAATGGAGCCTTCACGTCTGCTCTGTATTTATTGTAATATTCACCTGAACATTATCCAAAATATAGATTCCTTTGATGTTTAAATGCAATGGCATTTATAGCAAACTGTATGTTTATAAATAAAATGTCATAAATTAAATTGTGATTCTGGCTGTTAATTCTACAAAACAACATTATTTAACCAGATGATACGTCGAAGACTGAAATCTGGTAAAATACATTTTCTGAAGTTGCAAAGAAATACAAAATCAAGGGATGTGGCAAAAATGAAATAAAACATAAAAATGAAGCAAATGGAAAAACGATTCTGCCTCTAATGTCAGATTTATCACTTCAGGGGTCTAATGTTTTGTTAAATTCTTATTATCGTTAAACTCAGAACTGACAGGGTTCGAGTCAGGATGAAGTAAAGTATTTTTCAACGGGTGCAACAACGAAATATGTTATATGGAATTTCAAGTTCCAAATATGAATTCATAATATTTCCGTGGGCAACAAAAGTTGCCATAAATTTTGACCTTGGAGACACCGTGTTGCACATTTAAGTAGTTTAGTACCACCCAGTGTCAGCGGACGGGTCGCTCTAAAGAGTCCGACCTGGTAGTGTTTGGTTGTAATTTGGCACAAAATCTGACGGGAAATAGATTTATGCAGTAAAAATGCCTCAAAAATTCCCCTGTCAGTGTCCTTTGTTTAAAATGTCAAAGACATCGTTTCCCCCATTTTAACTTGTCATTGTTTCATTTCTCGTTCAAAAGACCAAAACTATTTTGTATATTTGAAACTGGCTCAAATAATGTTACTTTAATTGAAGGTGAATGTTCTCACCGTGTTTCGGAGAAACAAATAAGGACTCCGTACATTACGGAGCTGTCTGTGGTGCTGAAACCTCGGGATTCTTATTAGTAAAATAATGAGCAATTATTAAAAAAGCTTGTTTTATGTAATTGAGGATTTAAACACATAATATAATAATAAAATTCCCAACCAAAGAAAACATGACAAAAGCCACTTGGACTATTTTTTTTTTTATCATCAACAACCATTTCAATGGTACACCTGGAAAACTATGTGCACATGTAGAAATATTTCCTTCTTAAATATAAGCATTCATTACCTACATATAAATAACTTTCAGATCTTGGACAAAACGTGTTACATAATGCTCACAAAAAGGAAACGAAATCATCGTAAATCAGACAAAAGACAACATGCAAATTATATAGAAATAAATACAATGTTTCCATCCAGTCCCTCTCCTTTTTTACCCAAAATAAATTCTTCCCAGGGAACTTAGTAAAACATCGAAAAGACTTGTATGATCGATCTAGTATGGCCTATGGTTCAACTAGGAGACAGTAATACGTATTAACACTATACAGTTTGAGCCACAAAAACACTGCCGTAGAAAGACACACGAAACACACAGATTTCCCGTCAGAGGTGAACATTGCAGTAGTTTGTGCCATTTTTTTTTCTCGAGGAAATAATTGTGTTTATATCGATACTTTAAAGAAACTAAACTCTCAGCAGCCCAGAAAACAAAAAACAATCACACAAAAACACAAACAGACGCTCACAACCACACGCGCACACACACACACACACACACACACACACACACACACACACACACACACACACACACACAGCTGTAGAGAGGCTGCTGTCCGAACTGCATATTGTGTCTGCGCGGGTCAGAGAAGCCGGTCGGGTGCGCGCGTCCTCAGCCGTGCACGCTAAACGTCTCTCCACCAAACAAAGCGGCTGTTGAACTCTTGACATGTCACGTGACCTCACAACGAGGCGCCTCGGCTCGCCGGTGGCGCGCGCGGGCCTCTGTGTTTGCGCGTGCACCTGGTCAACATCTTAACGAGTCGCTTCACCGGTGATTGAGATTTAGATGTGAACATGTGATGATTCTTCGATCGGGAGCGACATTTTTGCGCTGACGTTGTCTCGTTCTGAATTTTCGCATTTAGAAAGAAGTATAATTGTGTTGATATTAATATGCGCTCTGCAGTTTTGTCATGGTTTCAGTCTTTGCACGAAACAAGTGGAAACGTTTCACCCAACTTGCAAAAAAAAAAAAAAAACGACGTTATTATCAGACAACACGAATTGTCAAGATGGATATTTTCACAGCAAATGTGTCAACTGGCCACAAGAAACGGCAACAAGGCATAAAAATAAAATAACAAGAGTTGTCGTCTTCTTTTTTCACTGCTTGTTATTGTCCTTAAGTCTGTAGTGAGCCATTGCGTTCGGGTCTCCGGAGGGTGAGGAAGCAGCTGCATTAGAACATGCTGGTCTTTACTAATGTAGCTTTGGCTCCGTTCTGTCTTTGCAAAGACGACAGCACGCTGGCGAACGGCCCGCCCAACGAGTCCGGGATGGAGGTGATGGTCCCCGGGGCGGTGGCCCAGCCTTGGCTCGCCGCTGTCACCCCCATACCGGAGGACACGGAGGTCTTCACTTGGTCCACTTGTCCGTTCCCGATGGTGTTGACCTGGCCTCCGGTGGGGCTCGGTCCCCCGCAGTTGGAGGTGGTGATGGGGTTCGGACCCGGTCCTCCTGTGCTGTCTGGGTCGGTGGATTTATTGTCTTTGCTGTCTTCGTCTCTGGAGTCGGACTTCTTCCCGGAATTGGACTTGGCGGCCGCTGCTGCTGCTGCAGCCGCGCGCTCCTGCTTGCGAAATTTGGCGCGCCGGTTTTGAAACCACACCTGGTGGAAAAACGAGGAAGGGCGAAGAACCGACGTTAATCCAGCACGAAGGCTTGATTTGTGACCAAACCAAACCAATCACCGCGCTATTGTTATTCGCTCGGTTTTCAAGTAGACAAACACCAAAGAATTTAATCGATTTAACTCCAAATCAGTGCGCTTCTATCCGGTGTTTAAATGTCTTAAAGCCCTAAAGATAAACCCCATCAGTACGTTGTGCATTAATGAGCTTGCCAACAAGTGGAGGCCAGTTAATATAGACTCTCAGTTCACTCAAATCTCTTAAAAGTAAGTGATTCGACGACGTGTTAAAATGATTCTTATTTTCATCATAAATCCGCTCGTGCGTAATTGCGCATACTCGAGCGGGCAGGCGTCCGTACCTGAACCCTGGCTTCAGTCAGGTCGATTTTGAGTGCCAGCTCCTCTCGGGTGTAGATGTCCGGGTAGTGCGTTTCAGCAAAAACCCGCTCCAGCTCCTTCAGCTGCGCGCTGGTGAACGTGGTCCGGATGCGCCTCTGCTTCCGCTTCTCGTTCAGTCCACCGTGGTCCGTGAAGAGTTTGTAGGGAACTGTGAACGGAATGGAAAAGACAATGCCGCCGTGAGACGCGCGCGGTCTTATCCGCGCAGTGTGCCGTGGGAGTGCGCGTAATTGTCGATGTCTTCAAATGGGGGTAAATTCAAACTCGGTATGTTGTATAAAATCCGGTTGTGGCTGCTGGGCAACAGCTTTCAATTGTATTATGCCTTCGATACCTGCGCATTAGTTCTGAATTGATAACGTCGCTGACCTGTGATGCGGTTAATTGTGATGTTAAACTAATTGTTGCTCCTCACGTTGAGGCTCAAGTTTGAAAACTTGTCGTAATGCTCCGCATCCTCCCCGCGTGTTGCTGCTGTAGCTCCAATTCAGTGCCAATAATGAGCTTTAGTCTTTGGTTATCTAATTATTTTTCGAAGCTTTATGTCTCATCGCAAAGTAAATAAATTATGCCTATCATTTTGGCAGCTTAAGATAATTCTGTTGGCGGTTTTTGGGTGTGACTGGGATAGTGTAACCCCGTAACCGAATTACCGCTTGCCTGCAATCGCTTCTAACGTGATAAATTCTTTCATTTGTGTAAGCAAATTTCGTTTGGTAAATACTAAACACATTTCCATTTTCAAATGCAATCAAGGCGTCCTATAATACGGCGGGTTCGGGCCGCGGAGTCGCTGCTTACCTGCGGCGTACGGGCTGCTCTGGTGGTCCCGCAGGGTCCCCAGGCTGCAGGACCCAGGCGTGAGGGACGGACAGCCGGAGGTGGCCCCGAAAGTGGTCCTGATGGGATTGTACTGAAACCCACTGGCTTGACTGCACGAGCTGAAGTCCGCATAGGCCGATGCCAAGCTCGTCGTGTCCATCCCGGCCATACATGACTCGTAGGCAGAGGAATTTAGGTAAGAATACTCCATTTTATACATTTGAGAAGGCTCGGTGGAGTTAGAAAGCTGCACTTCCCCGGGAAAAAAAACAGTCAAACAAAAAGTAACCCCCTGCCAAAAAGGTGGGTTACAAAATTTAAAAAAAAAAATAATCGAAATAAAAATGAGGAGGACGCGCGATCTGAGTTTGGGGGGAAAGAGGACTTGTTTGGTTGGAACTGGTTGGGCGGAATGCTGGACGGTGGGTAGATGTTCACTGCTCAGCGCCTGCTCCAAAACTGGCCTCCTTTATAGGAACCTAGCCCTGTTTTATGAAAAGCCCCCCTAAGAGCCCGCCTAGCCCGAGGTCTCTAGAGCATATAGTCCTCATAATAAACTTGGCTCTTTCCGCTTGGACAATAGCAAAGCGTTCGGTCTTATTGCTAGCGCTTTTTTACATGACAATAACTCATCAGTCTATTGGGCTGGCACTGGGGGCCCGGGCTGTCCAACCTCCCTATCATTGATCCCCTGCATCTCTAATTAGAATTTAATACCGCGCCATTACGCACCCCTCCACCACCACCACCGCCCCGCCACCCCTCCACCGCCCCCCCCCCCCCCCCCCCCCCACACTCCTCTCCAACCACCATCTTGCCCTTTAATTCAATCACCCACTGCGAAATACATGAAACGTTGAGTGACGATCTCCATGATCCAATTTTCTCCAAGCTTTTAGCCTTTTAAGCGAGCGTATACCTTGGGCAGGATTTCACAGAGTATTCCCCCTCTGCCTCTTCTCTCTGCCCGTCTGTTGGCTCTTCTGACTCTGTGTCTTCTGCACGGAAGCTGCAAAAACGCGTTCATTTGCACAACGATTTTTTTTTTTTGTTACGGCTTGACGATTTACATTTTATTGGGACGAATACAAATTCACAACTGAGGTGAAGTCGCCTGATTTTAATTGGGGTTTTTTTTGCACCATATGTGGCCTTGTTTTATACAAACCCATAGCCTTATTCTACTAACCCATTGCATTAGCATTTCATTTTACTTTATTTTATTACTGGTGCACTGCTGTCTTGTCTGTCTACTGTCGCGCACTTACCGCCAAGACAAATTCCTTGTTAGTTTGGCATATTTTGGTAATAAATGTTTCCTGATTCCTGATAATTCTGCTTCGTTTCAGGCCATTGACTGCTGGAGAACTGCTGAAACACGCCGATGTGCCTTGAAACAACTTCTCCGATTTCCATCTTTTTGTTTTGAGAGGAAATGCTTTGTTTATGTGGCTGCAGTGAATAAAAAAAGGTGAATTTTCTTCCCACGGTGAATGCGCATCAATCACAAGCACAAACACAAGTGTAGGCCCTTTGTTTTGATATCACATTACATCGCATGACTTCTGACACTGTTCATTGTCTTTGATGATCCATTCATACTTTTAGATCAAGTCCGAAGTCAATACATGCAAGTTATTATTTATCCCAACACATTAGAAATTATTCAGTAATAAACGAGCATCTTCGGTTTAATAACGCCTTTTTTTTCCAAATAAACAAACAATTTATTTTTCTCTGCGCCGCTGAGGTTCAATCTCTGCTTAACTTCCGGGTGTGTTTCTTTATGATTCAAACGAGTTTGTAATTGTCTTTATTACTTTCATTATTCCGTTTATTTGGCAAATAACATCTTTCTAATGAAAGTAACGAACTGGCGAGGCAGTCATCGGACCTCTTAGGCTCACAATATTGGCTGAGTGGTTAATTTGGTTTGTGTAATAAGGTGAACCGTTTTCTATGGCGCTTACGCACTCGTGCGTCTTTGTTTTTTCCCCCCGTTGGACCGAGTTCAAGTCCTCGTTTCGTTTGAAGCTGTGAGGGTTTTTTTCTTCTTTTCTTCCAAATGATCGAAAGCAGAAATTACGGGGCAGCAATTTAATTTATCAATTTGAATTTGTTCACCAGTGGTTCAGAGATTGATCGGTGCTGATGATCTTACACTAAAATATATATATATGGATATTTTACACGTTTGTCTCACAACCATTTAGATTGTATTATAGTATTATTATAGATCTTTTTTATTTGATTGACGTTATCGATCGGATTTCTTCATCTTAAGCAAAGAAGGCTGGGAGGATAATAAACACACATTTATTTGTTGAAATCGGGACGACAAGGAGAAAATGAATAAATAAATAAGAGCCCTTCTGAACCCCACAGGTCATGTCTGAGGTCACCGGTCTAAAATTAGGTTTAACAACGCGTTGAGGTACTCCAGCATCTCAGTGTTTGATCTAATTTAAAAAACACACACATGTGCTGCTGTTGTTTACTTGCTTGTAGAATGAAAAATCAGAAAAAAAATATTGGAAAAGCGGATTTGAAATGTTCTATTTCTAGTTGAACATTTGCTGCAGGGTTAACAATACAGCCGCGCGCATTCGCCATCAATTATTCGTCTCCACAATTGCTGATGTGTTGCAGTGTGTTTCTCTCTTTTCTTTCGTGTGTACGTTGTCTTTTCAGAGATCAACGACAGCCAGAAAGAAAGAAGAAAGCGAACGCTTTCTTGACACAACCCGGTGCCTATTATGTAAATGTTTTCGCTTTTTCTTTTCTCTTTTCCACGCACGAGCTGGGACCCCAAAGTTGTACCAAATGGCTAATTTGATTATTGAAACCAAAGAGCCAAATGGTTCACCGTCCTCCCTCCACGCGTCTGGCCGCGAGAAAAGAAACCATCTCTGGGAATTAATCGAATAACGCTCAAAGAAACGAGAAGTCTTTTCTGATATTTCGCCGAGGCAAACACAATTATAGCTTTTAGCCATCGGTTGCTTTTCACTGAAGCCGCTCTTTATTCTCGCAGTCTATAGTCCTTACAACCATAGTCCACCCGCTATGGAAGCGCCTCCTCTTTTATGGTTTCAACATCGTTTAATCCTTTCAGATGTTGCGGGTGGGACGAGAAGACACCGCGTGGTGCTTTGATGTGAGGCGATTCAATCCGAAGAGACGAAACTCTGCAGATTTAATGGATTTATTAGTACTGCTCCTCGTTTTTTGCAAGATGCAAAACGTGCAGACAGTTCATGTCCTGCAGAGGGGCCTGGTGGCTGCAGGTTGTATCAATTCCACCCAACAGCAGATTTGCGCAAACCGTGATTTACAGTAACATGATGATCCTTTAGTTCAAATAAAGCGGCAGTTAATTCGTAATTATGTGGCAAATAAAGGGCTCCGACCGTAAGCCTTCACTTAAATAAATCAAGAAAATGCGATGTGTGCAAGACCCTAAATCCCCCTGGCAAGTGCCGGACAATGGCCGGGATACGGGAGCAACTCCTCTCCATTTAGTGCGCACTATCGTTGCTCAGCAATATAGGAATGCGGGTCGACAGGGGGGACAAAAAGAGGAACAAAATGCCATTGTCTCTGGATGGATTGGATGGATCCACTCCCCCGAAAAAGGCAAAGAAACAGAGGAGGATAAAGAGCGAGGGAGCGCGATGGGAGGGTCCCGCTGTCACATTTCACCTACAACGTCTCACTCCTCCGCCCGAGGAAATCCTGCGCTTATCAAAGCGCTTATTAATAAGGCCGCGTGTTGCAGGGGAGGGGCTCGAGAGCAGAAAAATCATTTTGGGGATGCTCTCGTGGCAATTTAGTGTGATGTCTAAATTTGACAGGACGGATAAAGGCGAGCCTTCACCTTCAACATGCAGGAGAACAATCTGAAAGATAAAAACTACCACATCCAACAGCGTTCACTGTTCCGGCATTTCAAGCAAATCAGCCAAACGTTATAATAAATCATACATCATAAATCATTTTGCATGATTTATTGTGATTTACTCCGATGCTTTGGTTTTTAGATTTGAAATTGAACAAGACAAAAATGAACGGGGGGTAGGAAGTGTGTGTGTGTGTGTGTGTGTGTGTGTGTGTGTGTGCGTGTGTGTGTGTGTGTGCGTGTGTGTGTGTGTAGGGGGGAGTCAAACATTTAAGTTAACGCTGTTCCAGGCTGGTGCGTAAAAAGCGCATCGCGTTTCCAAGCGCACAGATGGAAAGTGACATCTGGAGAAGAGGTGAAATTCAATTAGAAGCCGGTGTCTTCTCTCTGCGCCACAAAAGAAATCAGTGTCTCAGTCTGCTGCGTGCGCGCTCGTGTCGTTGTTTTTGTTAGAGTTTTTTAACATAATTTCACCTCCCTGCTTGTTTATTCTGTCCCAACACGAAACTCGGAGTGCAGTTTGCGCGTCACAGTCAAATGATGGGATTGGGGGCGGAGGGAAGGGGGGGGGGGGGTGAAGTTGGCTTTTCATGATTTTTATGCAGAATTTTTTACATTCTATACATCTTTATTGTATAGTATAAACGCTGGATTATCACAATCAAATAAAAACGAAGAGCAAAATGACGCGTATCAACAACAGAAATGATAGATTCGCAGATTCCTCGCGTGTGAATGTGGATATTGTTGTCATGTAATCCAGCGTCTTCTGTTTGGAATAACCCCCCCTGTCTCCCAGATGCTGCAGGCAGCTCCGGCACAGCACGGCTCGTCTCTGCACGGCCTCTCCGGACCATCTGAGCCTTTATCGGGGCTTCCCAAGTGACCAAGAGGCCGAGCCAGTGGATTAACATAAAAATCTTATTCCGGGGGATAAGATTAGGAAACGTATTACCCTCAAACGCGGCCTTGGCACGCGCGAGAGCCAAGCAGGGAATCAATTACTAAATTACTCCAACCTCTAAGTCGACATTAACGCAGAGAAATGCCATCGACCGCCTCTGAAATAAGATTTCGCAAAGATGTGATCATTAAATCTCTTGCCAGCGTTCAAGAATTTGATTCATAAAATCGTCTGGAATGAGATGGAATTAAATTCTTATCGGAGCTCTTGTCATCGTTTCATCCCGCGCTGTTTAACGTTGGTCAATGGCCTTCATGAGATTTCCCCTGTAAATAAACGTGGTAATCGAATCCGCCTCTCCGCGACACATTGTGTGCTTGCTATTAATTTATTGCAGGCTGGGGGGGGGGGGGGGGGGGGGCGGACGGATGGGCCAAGCCCGAGTCCGCTTCAACTCACCGAAAGCCCAAAGAACATCTGGCTTTTGCGCGCAGCTCTGAAACATCATCTGTCCATTTTTATTTTCTTCTTCCTTTTTTGGCCTTTTGCGCCCCCCCCCCCCCCCCCCCCCCACTCCCACCCACCCTTTATTGGAGTCAAGGCATATTTTATTTAGCATAGTCTACCCGGCATTGCCCCTTCTCCCCACCCCCCACATTAGCAATTGACAATTATTAGCCCAGCCTCATAAATCAGCTGCGTGACCCGTTATTATTGTTGAATTCAATGGCTGTTGGGGAAGTGAGGGTCAGTGTCATTAACTCCCCCCTCCTCCTCCACCACACACCACACCACCCCGGGCCCCCTGAAGGCATTTGGCCCTCTATACAAGGACCTGCTGGCTAATAAT